ACGTCTGTTTCCTCTTTTCTGTTGTGGTGGAGTAGCTGATGCCGGTGAACTCCAAGGATGAAATCCCAAAACTTTTCATTTTAATTAATTCAGTATTGCATAACTCAAATTAAAAAACCTGATGACCCACACAATTATAATATATTGAATTTATACTTTCCTTCTAGGGGTGTGTGATAGACTTTCCTCCGCGTGGTGCACCCTGGGCAACGTATGCTCATACAGAAAAAAAGTCTATTAACTTGTAGTTGACTTCTCACTTCAAACTACCAGGACCCCACTGTATGTCATATTCGATCACTTCCTCAGTACTCAACTTACCTTCTTCCCTACCTTTGTGTCTGCCTCTTTTACATTTTGACACACTCTTCTTCCCCGCCCTTATCGACTTTTTTCATTTTGATGCTCCTTCCCCTCTGTGAAGCCTAAAGCCAACTAAAGGGCTAATGATAACTATCAAAACGCCGGCCATTTGACATAAATAAATAAATACTTACCGTCTATTTGATCCTCTCCGCATTATCCCATTTTAAACTCTTTGTTAACCTGTTTGAAATAATTTTTGCAAGTTATAAATTGAAGGTTTTTTTTCTGCAGTACATCAGGTGATAACTAGTTCGGTATAGGTGATTGAATAAATCCTACTCGTGCAAAAATGACATGCACTTCACTTCCTCACCATTATCGAAGCAGGCTAATTTGTCTTCATTAATTGATTTATTCGTCGTCCAGTTGCATTTTGTCACGATAGACGTTAAATTCAATTATTTTCATCAATAATCCCATCCTTTCTAGCCATTAAATGGCCAAAAGTGGCAGATTTTATAAACAAACATCTTGGTGTCTCAGTCTTCCCTTCATTCAATTAGTCGGGGTCTTCATTAGCTTTAAAATTCCATATGGTATCTGGATTCTATTAAAGATATCCGTTTAGTATATTGTTTCGATTATAAAATTTGGATATTCATATTCCTTAGACAAATATATAAATTAACCTATGCTAACGTTTCTAAAAGCATATACTAAAATGGAAATTCGATGTATTATTTGTGGCCAGTAAGAAGTCTTCGGAGAACAAAAGATGTGCGGACCAAAATCCTTTTTTTATTTAAAACCACTTTATGTTTGACCTAATTGTGCGAATTTCTAACGAACGAGACTTCTCAACCCAAACAACCAGAATTGTTCTACTCAGGCTTCTAGACAAAGACTTTATTCGTGCCTTCCTCAATTACTCTTTTAGTTCCTATAGTGGCTATAACTTCATTTAACTTCAAAATAGCTAAAAGTGGATAGCTGATGTTTCAAGGCAAGACGAAAATTATTTCCTTTGAATAGATAAATTAGAACAAAGTTTTCACAAAGTTCTGGGATTTTTGTCAATCATTCGGTTAATATGACTGCAGTCTATAAGTACCATTAATTAAGCTAGCAATCCTTTAAAATTCATTATTTTATTTACTTGTTTTATTTAATTTACGCACAGATTTTTGACTATCTGATTGTGGCCATTTTTATTTGATCCTTTCTTCTATATGTCAGTTCTAACTTTTATCAACATCCGATTCGTTAGGTATTTATTCTATGCTATTAGCGTAAAAATTATATCTCAAAGTACTAATATTTGGCTGCCTAAGAATTAAAAAGCTTGCGCTGCGTTTTTTTAACAAATTACGCAACCATCAAAATCTGTTTCTTACTTCTAATCATATTGTAGTCACGAGACAGGTTTAGTGTAATAGGTCTTCAGCCATGCTGACAAACGCGACTCTCTTGTCAAGAAATCATTTGTGTGAAACACTGGCAACAAATGTCTGTTGCTACTTTTACCCTTACACATTCCAAATTGATGAAATTTAGGTTAAATAACAGTTTTTAAAGATTGCGAAAAGAAATGTTTTGCCTGATTTTTACTGTGATGGTGTTTTAAGGAGACAGCCCTTTTGTCTAGGCTGACATTTGCTGCAGTCTGTCTTATCTTGATTATTTGTTTTAATCATTGATTTGACCTCTATTTCCTTTTGCCTGCAGCTAGACCTGAATACATTAGTTAAGTTTCTTTTGTGAATATAAATCCAGTGTCATTGCACGAAAGTGGTACGCTTTACTTAACTCTGTTATTTCTGACCAGTTTCTGCTTTACTTTAGAGTTATTCCAAATTTTATGACGCTGAAACTCACCAGCATTACACCAATACGAATGGAGGGGGTGGGGGGGGGGAACCTGTTTCTTTCTCTGTACATTTGTGTGGTAAAATCTTTCCCTTTATTTAATCATGTATTGAGGAACTTACCCCTTATTCAATGAACTTAGATAGCTAAAGTGATTGTTACAACTAGCATTACATCTTGTTTCACATCCAAGCTTTTACTAATGGCTATTCACTTTATAGGCAGTGGAGCTACCGGAACTGCTTACACATATTCGTACACTTGTTTCCTTCTTATATTTCTCTTACAGTTGCCATGTAAGAGCGTCTAATGGAGACGAATCCATGGTGCTGTTGTTATCTTTCATAGACCTATCTTGAAAAATTTGAGCGACAAGTAAAATCGCCCAATCAAGTCTTGTCTGCTGCTATCTCCACAAAGTTTACTCCTATTCTACTTGGTTTCGAAATCCCTGTCCCCCCCTCTAATCCCCACAACTGCTACTGCTCTTTCTTCGTGTTGAAGAACTAAATGAAGTCTGAAAATTTCGTGTGGAATGTCCTTGATTTCCACCATTAACTGTACAATACGTATTTGTCATAAACCAGAAGACAAAAAAATGGTACTGATTAAATATCTTAAAAGGTGTGATTTTCTGAAACGATTGCAAAATGTTGAAGTATTTATTAAAATTATTCAAATATTTACTACCTTTATCTTTATACAATTTTCGAATGCGTAGCTTAGCTATCATTAAAAATTGAGGTTAGATTTCTGTGTGTGGTGAACTGAAAATGCTTCACTTTTTGAATGGCCTCAAACTTATAAGGCTACTTGGAATAATTAGGTAACAAGTATAAATCACGGCCACGACAATAGTACCGTAACAAATAGAAGCAAAATATTCCTGCCAAAAAAATTGGATATCTGGTTGGTCAAAATTGCTGCAAAATACGAATGAAATAGACACTAATTTTGTAATTATGAAAGAAGTAGACTCCCAAAATTATTATATCAAATGGCAGGCGTGTTGATGGTTATCATTGGCCCTTTAGTTGACTTCAGGCTTCACAGAGGAAAGGGGGGGGGGAACAGAAGAGTGTTTCAAAGACGAAGGTAGAAAAGGTAGAAAAAGGTGATGTGAGTACTGTGGAAGTAGTCGACTACGACATACAGTGGGGTCATGGCAGCTTGAAGTCAGAAGTCAACTGCCAGTTTATAGAATTTTTTGCCGTATGAGTATACATTGCCCAGGTTGCACCACGTGGAGGTAAGTCAACCGCACACCCCAACTCCCAACATAGTATACTAAAATGGCGAATCGATAATAACATGTGAGCGAGCAGATTCCCCTAATTTTTTTCTAAATTCTCAACGAACAACCCCTCAATGGGACACATTTCAGCGAACATACGGCCTTTTAATGACAACACTCTTAATTTTTTACAAGGTATTATATTTCTTTTTCATTAGTAACCCTGCCTTTGGCTAAATTTAAAATTCATAACAAAATTCGTTTTATCACAGATAGGCTCTTTTACGAAAATCTCTTAAAAATGGTAATGGAACCAAAACTAAACTGATATCTATAATGTAGATCAAATATATATATCTTGCTTTCTTCCGCACATAATTTTGGTATTTTTTATTATTCCAAAGACTATGACTAGTAATCTCGGTTTTCTTTATCCTAAATACCTCATTAGATCTTCAAAATAGTCGAAAATCTCAGTAAACAACGAAATTACTTCTTGAAAGTGACTAAACAAATACTCCTATTACATTTTCAGTTCAATACTGAGCAGTAAATTTAGCCATAAATAACGGCGCTTCTGCGTGAATTTAAAATATAAAAGTACAATTTAATCAATTGAACTTGCAAATGAATAGTAAGTTCAGATATTTGTAAAAATGCGTTTTTACAATTGTTTTTCGCAAAGGAGGTAACAGCAGAATTTGGACAACAAATTACTCGTATCAAAACTAATAATTTGTTCTTCTGCAACTTATGTTGGTTAACTTCACAACTGTTGATTACTTAATTTGGGAAATAAACTAGATGACTTGGAGGCAGATTACATAATCAAATAAAAAATGAAAACGTAAATTGATTAAACTGATTATACAATTGAAGTATCTGCTAAAGTCTGGTTAAAAGCAAGGTGAAGAATGTTAAAAATTAAAAATTTTTTGACATAAACGAGTACAAAGCTATATTTCAAAGTCTATTGAGGTTTCAGTGAAAGGGAAATGATTAGGAACAGAAGGGAGCATTGCCATTATATTAACATATAGGCGACACAATTTGTGCTCAAATATTTTTTGCGCTGAAAAGACTTCTTTGCTGTTTAAAAAAGCAAGGAAAAACTTATAATCTAAAGTACCATAAAATCCACCACCACAAATGATTTATAAATTTCGACGAATACTTGATATTTAGGGCTTTCCCAATGCTCATAGTTTTTCTAAACATATTATGCCCACATTCAAGCACTAAATATTACTTTTAAATAAATTTCATATAATATAAAATTGAAAAAACGTTTATTAGCTAAAACAATACAGTTTTGAATATCCATCATGTAGTGAGCAATTGTATATTTTGAATTTTAGCATTATTCTGAAACTAGTGAAAGTTTATTGGTGAAATAATTTATATTAATTAATTAAAAATGCAATAAATTGTCAAATTTAAGTCACGTCTAGTAAGAATATTTAATGCAATCTCTTAATTTGCCTTGAATACTGACATCCAATGAAATCACCCTTCATTACTGTCGCTAATTTGAGAGTGTGTAACTCTTTAGCCGCAGATGCATTTTTAGTTTGATTTGTGTTACTACATGACAATGGAAGAAAATAATCCTCCACATACACCTACTTTGACTGTTGAAGCTATTAAGAATGCAGTACTTCGATTGTATTGCCTTGAGGATATATCTGTTGTGGGGAAACTTGGCAGTGGGTTTTATGCCAACGTCTATCTGGTAGGTTGTGTATGCTCTATTATTTTTTAGGTCTATCATCGTCCAACTAAACGCAAAATGGCCCTTAAAATATCTCCCTCTGGAAATATTCAGCGTCGTGAGATCGAGCTTCTTCGGGGATTACGACACGAAAACGTCCAAAGGTAGGAGTTGCATTTGTAGCGTTTATTTCATTCTAAATGTTGTTTGATTGTTTCGGTTACTCGTTTTTTTGCATACAATTACCCGTTGTTTGGGCTGTTACATCACTTTTATCATTTCATGAATGATTATTTTACCCAGATCGGTTTGAGTTTTGATTTTATTTTGTTATTTTGTTCCGTATGGTTTTAAATCCTTTTCATTTGCTTTAGACTATATGGTGCTTGCATAATCAGTGGGAAATTAGCGTGCTTAACCGAAGTAAGTCTCTCCTGTTTCAAAAATTTATACATTTTGTATTTTGTCGAATATTTATCTCTTAAAATTTGAGTGTTACTCCCCTTAACAAACAAATTTTTCATACGGGTTTGAGTCACTCTTTCACCTCATTATTAAGGAAACATTCCTCTTATGACTTTGTCTTTTTTTATTCCTTCCCACTGTCTGTTCTCTTCTTTGTCTTTTACCATATTTACATCTTTCAGACCAAATTTGTCAGTTTGTCTGGTAGAACTAGCATCTTAGCATAAGTAAAAATGTTCATTTTGGTTTCCGATTCTTCAGTCGCTTTGTGATATTCAAAAATTATTTTTTTTGTTCTTAGTGTATTTCCTATTATTTTAAAGTCTAGTCTATTCACCGATTTGAAAATTTGCACATTAGTTTAAAATTTCATAAAAAAAACTTGTGTTTTTGTTAAGTCTAAGTTGTTAGTAAAACTGTAATTACTGGAGGATGCATTATAAGCTTTGAGCTTTAATGATCAATCTGTCCATTTATGGTTGAATTAATTGTCAGACTTTACCTGGTCATAGACACTTTTGACTATTTACTTTGGTAATATTGTTCTTAAATGTTAACAACTCTAAACATTTATCTTTCCAAATGATCAGTTATTAGAAAATTATCCTATTTTATTGAATCAGTCATGTCTTTAGAAGTTGATTTATTCAGACTCAAATGTCGCTTTGAATATTTGACCAGTTTATTCAAGTCAATAGAGGGCTTATTTCCTTTTGTCAAAAACTGAAAAAATTACTTGATTGCTCTCTTACTATATTTCGTTTCCACAGAGCGTCTAAAGAGGAGCATTTTTTCCATTTTTATCCGGTTTACTGGCAGTTTATCGATTTCTTCCATTTGCTGACTCCCGCTTTTTAAAAATTACTGCTCTGTCTACTGGCTACTGTATTTTTGCCACTTCTTTGGCCTTCAGTAATACGATAATCGAAATCAATTCTATCATATTTCGTTTTCTAACTGAGGTCGTACTTTTGGGAAGGCTATAGTCTAGCTTACTATCTCATTCTTTTTCGACATTTCTAATCTCGAACTTCCCTCTCTCTAAGAGCACATGTCAAATTCGCTTCCTTGGTGATCGGACCATTTTGCTTTCAGATTCTGCTAGCAATGATCATCGACAGGATCTAACTGCTTTGTCAAATGAGATGAGATAGAGATGTAGAGGTACTTTTTAGCAAATGCTACTAGGTGTTCTCCAATATATATTAAGAACAGCTGCTATACTATAGCCGAGATTTTTTAATTTATATAGGATGTATATATTATTCCAGCTTCTTATGACTTAGTACGGCTTCCCATTTGACCTGTCCACGGCCTCGTCTCATGTTGAGTCATCTTGTTTACTATATCAATTATCACCACCCTCTTGTTCACATCTTTTCCTTGAGTTATGCGCTTATTTGCTATGTTTTTGCTCCGTATTACTCAGCTTGGTGAATCAGCATTCTAGAAGGTAGATTGGGATTTTGTTCATATTTTCATCTCTGTTGATTAAATCACAAAATTTTGCATCTTTCTTCTACCAATAATGAGACAACTCTTGTATTTTTTACTTTTTTTTATATTACTCAGATCAGTTTATTTAAGAATCTAGACTATATTGTGTCTGACGGTCAAGCGTATCCCTATCTTTAAGTCTTTAATTGTCTGGAATATATTTTTTTATATCAAATGGGAGGCGTTTTGATAGTTATCATTAGCCCTTTAGTTAACTTCAAGTTTCACAGAGGGGGAGGAACATCAAAGTGAAAAAATTCGAGGTGGGGGGGGGGGGGGGCGAACAGAAGAGTGCTTCAAAGATGTAAAAGAGACAGACACAAAGGTAGAAAAAAGGTGAGGTGAGTACTGTGGAAGGGGTCGATAAGACACAGTGGGGTGATGGTAACTTGAAGTCAGAAGTTAACTGCTGCTTAATAGACTTTTTTGCCGTATGATTATACGTTGCCCAAGGTACACCACGTGGATTGTCTGGAATATTTGACCTTTTCATCTATGCAACTTTGGTCTGAAGATCTTAATGGTATTTAACTATTTCTGGTGATTTACTTTGTTTTTCCTCAACTGAGTGTTCTACTGTAATACGATTCCCTTCTTATTTTACTCAATTATTTCATGTGACCACAGTTCGTTTATTCAGGCCCATTTCTTCATACGTAAATGCTTGTGTCCATCTTTTGGTTGTAAAATAGAGCCTTTTATTCCATCTTGCTTAATCAGTAGTGTTGTCTCTCGCAAACTGTTAACAATGCCACCCACTAATCTATTGACCCATTCAGACTGGTTAAGAGTGGGCAGTGGGGAATAGACAAGCTAACCAATGAGGAGTTATCTCCAATCCAAATGTTGGGAGCAGGTGCCCTTGTTGAAGATTGATTTTGGTGCTGTCTACGTTCGTCAGGTTTTTAGTTGTGTCCACTACGGCTTAGAATTGAATAAGTTGCTTGGCGTATGCTATCTTATATCCTATCACTTACACATTCGCCGCATAAGACATTGCCATTCAAATGCCCTCTGTGGTGCTCCGCTATAAGGCTCCGCTATCTTTGATAATTCACTTAATTCTGGCAGCCTACAAATTTTCTTTACCTATGATTTCCCAGAAAATCACAAATATTTAACTTCATATGTTGTGCTGTTCTTTTGCCTATTCCAATGATATTCCTTTGATAATTTGTTTCTAGGGTGTTGCAATTAGACGGTTTTTTCTTGATGACAGTAGTTTTACATTTACTCATGTAGTGGTGACTGTCGAATTTGCATTTTTAGTCAACTCAATTAACTTCGTGACGTGTGAAGTTAGGCGAACGTCAGTGAATTCGGTTGATTATGAATTCGTCAACGTTTGACATTTTATGGAAATCTTGTAATTTTTTAATTTGGCCACTTCTTTTTCTATTAGCTGACTGTTTAATTAAAAATGATTTCATCATATGATTCTCCTATTGTGGATAGCTGAAGTATTTTCAGAGGATAATCGGTAGAGTGCTGAAGCAATCATTATAACTACGAATGTGTTAGGGAGGCGAAAGATTAGATCTCCATTATCTTTAGCCCTTAACTCTATGTAAAAGTGTCTAATTTTGTGGAATTCAAATGACAAAAATACTCCTATGACCTGTTTTGGTATTCTTTGAAATATTTGAACTTTATCACTGTGTTATAATGATCGTGAACTCTGTTTTTGTGTTTTCTAGTTTTTTTTTTAAATGCACAAAGTTAGCCTCCTATTTATAAAAGTGTAAAGTGTACAGAATCCGGTTCACACCTTGACAGTGCTGTTACCCAATATCTGACCAAGGTGTGATTACATAGTCTTGATGCAATTAACGGCAAATTAGGGTATTGCTGTATTTGTTAAAGTATTCGCTTACAATATATCAATTTGGTCCCTTAATCAAACAGCTACGCAATGTATGCAAATATGTTTTAGTGACCTTGTTGCATACGCTTAATTTTCATATGAATATGCCCGAGCTTGGGTTTCGAATTCCTATGTTTTTTTGGCTTAAGTCTCATCGATGCATACTCTTACGCTAACTCATCTGTTTTTTCCCCATACAACTATTCATGCTGCAATCTATTTTCCTGTTTGTGAAGTTCGTGGGATCTTCACAGTGTTCTTACTTCTTCCGTATTCATCGACCATAAGTGCGAGCTCATATACCAACCCAGATGAAGAATACAGGACCTTGATACAGAAGCTTATGTTAGGGGGGTACTGGTATGATAAAGTCTATATTTAACGTATAGGCGTAGTAGCACTAATATCTATCGAAACCACACCTGATAATGTTTGCATTTTCTAAGTCAGAGGTTAAACGCACATAGATGAAACTCATTAAACTGCTAAATACTCAATAAGACAGGTCACTACACAGCATTGGACTTTTGATGTTTTATGTTTAATTATGTATCCCTTCTTACCTTTTACTCACTTGTGCCTTTCAGTACGCCAAAGGGGGCAGCCTAGTGGATCTTTTGACAGCTACCTCGGCGCCATTGCCCTGGAGATGCCGCGTGAGTTTGGCGCATGACATAATTCGTGGCTTGAACCATCTGCATGAACACCTCCTCATTCACCGCGACTTATCCTCTCAGGTGCGCTCTCCACTTTTTTGTTTGCTTCATGTGTTCTTCCGACGCAGCTCAGGTTGAGATTGGTGACTTTAACGTGCTAACGGTAGTACAGACAAGCATGTTGCTTCAATATACGATTGACTTGTTTTGCACAAATGGCTTTAAAACATCTCATGTGGAATCCTACCTTTTACTTCAGTCGTGACTTCTCATCTTGTTTTACTTCACAAGCACTTAAGCTCCCTTTGTTACCTGAAGTTGTTGCTTCTGGTTGTTTACTTTTATGCATAACTTAATGGAGTCTTTTTGACTCAAGAACAGTGAATATTTCAGGGTTTAGCTTTTAAAATTGTGGGAGTGATTGGTTTACTTTCAGGTCATTTCTCTTCTCCCAATTTCTTACGGACTTGTCTTTATGCGCCCATTACAGCTCACTGTAGAGGCGGATTGTTTTGACCTTGAGCTGGCCATGACCTCGTGCGAACACATCGTTTAAATGTGCAGTGATTTTTTACTTCTACAGGGTTTAATTTCCTATTGCCTTGTCTGACCTTTCCATTACTGAGACGTTGTCGTACCAGCAAGCTTACTGACGAATTGGCTTATTTGAATCCTAAAACTAGCTTTGCTTTTAAATCAAGCATTATTTCCATAACTGGTAATCTGGATATAGTCAAAAGCTCAATATGCGGGACTTTGTTGAGAGAGGGGTAGTTTATCAGTCCTATTTGGGAAATAATGTCCTCAGCTTTCTAGTTAGAGGATGATATTATGGAGTCTCCCAAGCTGCAATCTCCTTAATCAGCAAAATGAACTATCGCGATGTGCACTGGTAGTCGTTGAATCTGTAACCTTAGACTCTGCAAACGAGCTTATTAACCACTGCGCCACAAGCACACAAAGAGCCGGAAAACGGGCATTTCCAGTCAGTCAGTCGTTCAGGTACTGACCCCGTCCTATTGTAGCGTTATATTTACCTTAACGATGGGCAAAAGTAAGTGCGATGTATTTGAAATTGTTGTTGTGATTCGCAATTTGAACGAGTTTAATATGGCTATTGAACTATGAAGTAGATACGGTTGCTCTTTCAGTCGTCTTTCATGGAACCTTTGAACTGTGCATTGCTTGAATTGAATAAGAGAGTTTTTAAAAAATATTTGGGGAAAGGGAGAATACACATGAACAAACACTCAATGCCACCATAAAGAGGGGTGGCGTTAATACAAAATTTGACAATAATAGAGGTTTTGGGAAATCGACCTTGCAAATTTTTCATCGCTTGATTATTGTCTTAAAATTGGGAATTATTTTGCCTTATTCATTTGTTTTTTTTTTTACTTCTGAACTGCTTCTCACTTTTAATGCCCATCTTCTTGGCAATGAGTTTTCCCTTCTACTAGTCCCACAACTAAGCCGACTAACTCATTTTAAATTAATGTGTTTTTGTTCCAAATTTAATTACAAGCTCGTTTACTCATAGTGAATTTTTTCCTCGAACAGTCTTGACTGAGTTAACATGTTAGTTGACGTTTTTATATCTGCCCATTCAATAAATGACGAAAATGTATTGGTCTCCATCTGAGAATTTTCTTTTTTTCTTAGAATACTGAGTTTTTTTCGACAGAACTTCCAGAAAAGAGAATGCCATTCTCACAAAGTTCAGATCACAAAAATGTGCAATTTGTAATGATCATTTTATGCATTTAAATGTATATTTTTTTTCATATCATTAAAACTGCTCAACTTCTTTCAGTTTCATTCTTTGTTAACAAACGACAATTTGTGCTTCTCAGAAAGTGTTTTAAAATTTGCCTTTGTTTGCCTCTTATTAGAAAAAATCTGCTTGAAATAAACTTTTCCCATAAACCCACCTCTTGAGATGGAGAGAAGGTAGGTACAAAGATGTTGATCAAATCTAGCCAATGAGTTGAATCAATTTGATCCTGGCAGTAAATACCCAAATATAATTTAATTGATGATTTCTAATCGTTGGTAATCAGTGCGATGACTTGAGTTAATAGCTCTAAGATGAAGTAAAACTGTCATCAAACTGGACAAATCTTCCCTGATGAATTGCTGTAAATAAAGTCCAAAAGTGTATGAATTTGATTGGGGATAAATTTGGCTTAACTCGAAGTGAAGCGAATCCAAATAATTTAAGTTCCACTTGGTGTTATCTGATGTAATTATAACCACTTTAGAGCTGTCTGTCAGCGAAAAACCCAACTATAAAATAACTTGAGAATGGTTAAGTTGGAATGATATTAAAATTAAATTATATGC